TTGGTGGCTTTAGGTTGGTACATTGCATTCTTGAGAAGGTTCCAATGGTTTGATGGCATTAGGTTGGTACATTCCATTCTTGAGAAGGTTTCAATGGTTTGATGGCATTAGGTTGGTACATTCCATTCTTGAGAAGGTTTCAATGGTTTGATGGCATTAGGTTGGTACATTCCATTCTTGAGAAAGTTCTGATGGTTTGATGGCTTTAGGTTAATACATTCCATTCTTGAAAAGGTTCCAATGGTTTGATGGCTTTAGGTTAATACATTCCATTCTTAAAAAGGTTCCAATGGTTTGATGGCATTAGATTGGTACATTCCATTCTTGAGAAGGTTCCAATGGTTTGACGGCATTAGGTTGGTACATTCCATTCTTGAGAATGTTTCTGATGGTTTGATGGCCATAGGTTGGTACATTGCATTCCTGAGAAGTTTGTGATGGACTGTGGGTAGGTCAAGTGCTATAATTGCACTACTTGGTTACAAGCTGGTCAAGTGCTGTGAAAACTAGAATGCTCTGGATACAGGGTAGTCTAGTCTCATTAGTTTTCTAATGCTTTAAATGGCTACAGGTTGTATCTCTAAGGTATCCTTGAATACTCCTTATCGAATACTAATGTTCCAGTGGGGCTGCCAGTTGAACTTGTCCTTTTAGTTATTAATGTGGTTGGCTGTCGGTTGGACTTTTTCCTTTATTTTTCCAGTGCAGTAATTGGCAACAGGTTGGTCTTGTCCTCTGATGGTTCTAATGTTGTAGCCTGTTACTGGTTGGACTTGGACTTTCATTTTTTTTCAGTGCAGTGATTGGCTCCTGGTTATATTATCCTCTAATGATTCTAATGCGTTGGTTGGCTGCTGGTTGGACTTGTCCTCTTAATTTTTGCAGTGCAGTGATTGGCTACAGGTTGATCTTGTACTCTGATTGTTCTGATGCTCTGGTTGGCTGCTGGTTGGACTTGGCCTTTTTATCATTCCAGTGCTGTGATGGGCTACAGGTTGGTGTTGGCCTCTAATGTTCTGGCTGCTGGTTGGACATGGCCTTTTATTATTCCAGTGCTGTGATGGGCTACAGGTTGGTGTTGGTCTCTAATGCTCTGGCTGCTGGTTGGACATGGCCTTTTATTATTCCAGTGCTGTGATGGGCTACAGGTTGGTGTTGGCCTCTAATGCTCTGGCTGCTGGTTGGACTTGTACTTTAATTATTCCAGTGTAGTAATTGGCTACAGGTTGATCTTGTGTTCTAATGGTTATAATGCTCTGTTTTGCTGCCAGTTGGATGTGTCCATTATTTGTTCCATTGCTGTGACTGGCTGCAGGTTGGTCTTTTCCTCGAATAGTTCTCATAATCTGATTGGCTACAAGTAGGTTTGTCCTGTAATAGCACAAATGTTCTGATTCGCTATGGTGTGATAAAGACCCGTGATCTTGTACTGCTCTGACTGACAGGTTGACAAGTCTTTGTCCTCACATCATTCTAACGTTTTGCGGCGGCGTCTAATGCTCTGATTGGGTGCACTGTTCTCCAGCTCTGTAGTAGAGATAAAACTCTGGTGTGTCCCATATTGCTGTGTCTATTTAGCCAAATAAAAGCGGTTCTGCTCCTGTACTATAAATTCATACGAACATGCAAAAAAATGGGGCCAAGGTTTGATAGGCTGCACTGTATAACCTTTTTGGGGCTTTTTAGCAAAACTACACTTTAGGGTTAATTTACACAAACCGCAGTCTGTGGGCCATAGTGCAGCAGTTGTCAAGCAGAATGCGACATTGCTTCTTTCTAAAGGCCCTTTTTTTAAGGTTCTGATGGCTGATTATTTCATTCCTGAGAATGTTGTAATTTCCCGATTGGGCTGCAGGTGGGTCAGCCAGAAACATGCTGATAGGTTAATTGACTCCTGTCTAAAATTGGTTTAGTAGGTGTGAATGTGAGTTTAGGGACCTTAGATTGTAAGCTGCTTGAGGGTTAGGGACTCATGTAAATGTACAAAATACTGTATGTAAATGCGCTGCGTAAATTGACGGCGCTATATAAGTACCTGTAGCAATAATGGCTCTACTTTGCTATAGATTGGACAAAGGATAGTGTAGTCTCATTCATATTGTAATGCTGTGATTGGCTACAGATTGGTCTTATCCTTTAATGGTTCTAATTCTTTGGTTGCTGCCGGCTGAATGTGTCTTTTAATTATTCCAGTGCTGTGACTGGCTACAGGTTGGTCTTGTGTTACTAATTGTCTGGTTAGCTGCCAGTTGGACCTTTCCTTCAGTTTCAGTTTTTCTAGGGATGTGATTGGCTATAGGTTGGTCTTGACCTGTTATGGTTTGATTGGTCTAGTCGGCTGCCTGTTGGTCTTGTCCTCTAGTGGTGTTTAATGGTCTGGTCGGCTGCCTATTGGTCTTGTCCTCTAATGGTGTTTAATGGTCTGGTTGCTGCCTATTGGTCTTGTCCTCTAATGGTGTTAATGGTCTGGTCGGCTGCCTATTGGTATTGTCCTCTAATGGTGTTAATGGTCTGGTTGGCTGCCTATTGGTATTGTCCTCTAATGGTGTTAATGGTCTGGTTGGCTGCCTGTTGGTCTTGTCCTCTAGTGGTGTTTAATGGTCTGGTCGGCTGCGTGTTGGTCTTGTTCTCTAATGGTGTTAATGGTCTGGTCGGCTGCCTGTTGGTCTTGTCCTCTAATGGTGCTTAATGGTCTGGTCGGCTGCCTGTTGGTCTTGTCCTCTAATGGTGTTATGGTCTGGTCGGCTGCCTGTTGGTCTTGTCCTCTAATGGTGCTTAATGGTCTGGTCGGCTGCCTGTTGGTATTGTCCTCTAATGGTTTAATGGTCTGGTCGGCTGCCTGTTAGTCTTGTCCTCTAATGGTGTTAATGGTCTGGTTGGCTGTCTGTTGGTCTTGTCCTCTAATGGTTTTAATGGTTTGGTTGGCTGCCGTTTGGACTTGTCCTTTAATTTTTCCAGTGCTGTTATGGCAATACCATGCTACAACCACTAGCATTTGCAGTACAGCCCTATTCACTTGAATGGGTTGTGTTTTGGCGGCAGTACTGCCTGCCAAATGTGACCTTTTTATATGTACGTGTAATGTGGCAGCTGACCATGGATACAGGATAGTCTAGTCTAGGCAACACTAAATGGGGGACCGTGGTCTGGATCCAGACCCAGAAACATTCCAGACCACAGCTTCACCAAATAGTTGCCTGAATGTCCTCCACTCACCACTGACCCGCCTGCCGCTGCTATTCTCCTCAAGGAAGGGCACAACATTTGAGGCGCAGCAAGTCTGTCCCTTTCATAACATCGCAGCACTCCAGCACCCCCACCCCCCCCCCCCGTCCTACCCTATTCACACAAGCTGGGAAGGTCTGGACATAGGGCAGGACTTTTCATGTTAGGAAGCGTGTGATTGGTTGCTAGGCAGTGTAGGGAGCAGGGTCTGTGATGGGGGTAGGGGGTCTGTGATTGGGGTGGTCTGTGATGTAAAGGGGGGGGGTGGGGGGGGGGAGGAACTATGATGTGCACGGGAGGCGGAGATGTGAAGGATCTGAGTCATAGCACCAACATGACACTCGGACCTCTGCTGGAGAAAATTTTACTGACCGGACCCCCCGTGAATTTTAATTCAGTACCCCTGGTCTAGTCCAGGGTTTCTCCAGAGGTTTCTATGGGTTCCCTGGGCAATGAGCAATTTCTGTCTCTCAGATAAGTTCCCACTGACACCATTAATTTTTTTAGCCATCTCTAAGGGGATCATTCTTCCCAATGACCACAAGTATAAGGAGCATTCTTACCTCTGACCATCACACGAATGTATCATGAGTTGTAGACATAGTAATATTTAGCAGGGGTTCGCTGACACCAGAAAGTTGCTTCAAGGGTTACTCTGATTTGGCTATATGTTGGTCTTGTCCTCAAAAGATTCTAATGTTCTGGTTGGCTGTCTGTTGGTCTTGTCCTCAAAAGATTCTAATGCTCTGGTTGGCTGCTGTTGAATTTGTCTTTATTTTAATTATTCCAGTGCAGTGATTGGCTACTTGGTCTTGTGCTCTAATGATTCCAATGCTTTGGTTGGCTGTCAATGGGACTTGTCCTTTAATTATTCCAGAGCTCTGACTACAGCTTGGTCTTGTTCTCTATTGGTTCTCTTGCTCTGGTTGGCTGCCAATTGGACTTGTCCTTTAATTATTCCAGAGCTGTGATTGATTACAGCTTGGTCTTGTTCTCTATTGGTTCTCTTGCTCTGGTTGGCTGCCAATTGGACTTGTCCTTTAATTATTCCAGAGCTGTGATTGATTACAGCTTGGTCTTGTTCTCTATTGGTTCTCTTGCTCTGGTTGGCTGCCAATTGGACTTGTCCTTTAATTATTCCAGAGCTGTGATTGATTACAGCTTGGTCTTGTTCTCTATTGGGTCTCTTGCTCTGGTTGGCTGCCGGTTGAACGTATCCTTCAGTTTTTCTACTGATATGAATGGTTATAGGTTGATCTTGCCCTCTAATGGTTCTAATACTCGACTGGCTGCCGGTTGGACTTATCCTTTACTTATTCCATTGCTGTGATGGGGACACCAAGTGTTTTGTCTCATGGTTGCAGTACGGTCTTAGTCACATGAATGGGTCATGTTTGGTGGCGGTACTGCCTGCAAAATCAGACCTGTCTATATAAACGGGTAACATGGCAGTTGACCATGTTACCCACATGGGATCACAGGGTACACAAGGCCTGTATCACCTCGCCGATGTACACTGGCTGGCGTAATGACATCACAGGCCGCTGGCCCCGCCCAACGCGGCCTATCACTACCTTCTTCAGCTTCTTGTGTGGATGAGGCCTACATTTTGTAGTTGGAGCTTTCGTAAAACTAGACCTGCGGCACTGAATTATTTTTTTTTTCTTCGCGGTTTTTGTCTTGTTCCATTACCCAATGCTAAGGTTGCAGATCTGGGAATTCTCTTACGTTGCACTTTTTGTAATTCATCTGCCTTTGCAGTTCAACGCTGAAAGCAGAAGTGGATTTCGAGAGATAAAACGATTTGGCGCCCTTGAAGACGGCGCAGGTTTACCATTTGGGCTTTGACAGCTCGGCAGGAAAGGTGTATTTCTCTCCTCTTTTTATCCTGTTCTACAAGCCGCACGGCCATCTAATCTCATTGCCATGTATTTATTCAGCATGTCTGCTGTGGATTTGCGGGTTTGTATTGCTTCCTGTGAGGTGCGCCTTATCTCTCTGCTCTTCAGAGCCAGTCATCTGCCCGGCTCGCTCGCTTTATCTTTTGAATTGCTTAAAAAAAAAAAAAAAAACCCACTGAATGCGCTTGTAGCGTGATCGCTCGGATGTTTGCCAGCCGCACACAAAGCTTTGTAATAGAATGACAGAAATCTTTACTTGGCGGCGTTTCACAATAATCCATTAATTGTGCGCGGTGTTATTCCTATCGGTTTGGCCCATTTTTTTTTTTTGTTTGTTAGTGCGACTTAGTCGCTGGCACTTTATTCGCCTTTTTCTAAGGCGTCTGCCGTTGTCATAGTGCCACAAGCTTGGGTTTGCCTTTTTATCCCTAAATCCGCGCCGCCTTGTTCTTTTGTGTAATTGTGGTTGTCACTGGGGGTGGTTGATGTAAAAGACTTTATATTATTAAAGTGTTACTAAGCCCACATACCCAGTACCGGCATGCATGATGACGTCGGCACATCCTGGCACCAACATCGTGACATGAGTGGCTTTAATCCAATTTCTGTTAGTGTTACTAAACTCACAACAGTAAAATCAGTCTGTGGAACCTAAGGGGTTAATCCTCTGCATTGTGTAAAAAGGCTGTTTGTTTCTGTATTCTCTGATCCTCCCCTTCTTCTACTGTCCCCGATCCATCTGCTGATAGTACCAAGCTCTAGGAGTCACTCTGCATATGCTCAGTGTAGTCTGTATGGCTAGAGTGTTTTGTTTTTTGTTTTTTTTTTGGGAGGGTGCATGTGATCAGCACAAGGCCAATCAGCACTGTCCAGACAGAAGGTCAGGGGTCCTGCAGCCTCATAGGACAGTCTGGGAGAATGAAAACTCCTCCTACAAGCTTTACCCAGTGCTCTGCTGGACACTAATATACAGTAGCAGTCTTGTGACTTCTATGCTTTTGATGAGAGAGGGTATTTAGCAGTTTATATTTACTAAACTTACTGTATTTCCATGTTGTGTGTACTGTAGGAGACCGGATATAGTGAATGCAGGGTCCTGGGAGAGCTGATATAGCGAATGCAGGGTTCGGGGAGAGCGGATATAGCGAATGCAGGGTTCGGGGAGAGCGGATATAGTGAATGCAGGGTCCTGGGAGAGCTGATATAGCGAATGCAGGGTTCGGGGAGAGCGGATATAGTGAATGCGGGGTCGGGGAGACAGAATATAGTGAATGCAGGGTCCGGGGAGAGCGGATATAGTGAATGCAGGGTCTGGGGAGAGCGGATATAGTGAATGCAGGGTCCTGGGAGAGCGGATATAGCGAATGCAGGGTTCGGGGAGAGCGGATATAGCAAATGCAGGGTCCTGGGAGAGCGGATATAGTGAATGCGGGGTCGGGGAGACAGAATATAGTGAATGCAGGGTCCGGGGAGAGCGGATATAGTGAATGCGGGGTCCGGGGAGAGCGGATATAGTGAATGCGGGGTCCGGGGAGACCGGATATAGTGAATGCGGGGTCCAGGGAGAGCGGATATAGTGAATGCGGGGTCCGGGGACAGCGGATATAGTGAATGCTGGGCCCGGGGAGAGCGGATATAGTGAATGCGGGGGCCTTTGTTTAGTAACACTTTAACCCTCTTTACAGCTTAAAGCTGATCTCTGGGATAAGTAAATATAGTCTAAACACTCATTATATGTATTCCTCCTTGAATCTCGGGGCTCTTTGTATATTTCTTCCAGATCCATGCAGTAATCCAGTGTGAGACTTTCCCTCTGTGCAGGAGCTTCCTGTAATAATGACCGCTCACTGCTGCTCTCTCCCCTTGTGCAGGATGACTGGTCTCGTCTCCGCCCCTTCTTGTAGTTTTCTACAGGCAGCCTGTACTGGGCGGTGTTGCTGGGCCCCTCCCACAGCTCTGCACAAGCTATGTACAGCACAGTGAGGATATCACTGCTTCCTTTGCAAGGTAATATCTAGGTTTACAAAGGCATTTGGTTCTCACAAAGAGGATTATGTTCTTCGTGGCTAATAGGGAATATAGTTATTGCAATTCTTTGTGCCTGAACTTCTGTGGAGTGAATCTGTGCTTTGCCCATGGAGGTCATTTTAATCCACCTTCTACAGATGTAATACAGATGCTTGCCTTACAAGTGGTCATTGTCATAGCTCACACCGGGCTATGAAATTCCCTGTGGCAGTGCCAGTTGGTCCAGGACTGTCACGTTTCTCCATACTCAACAGTACCTCCCAGTTTCCAGCTTGGTCCAAATGTACTATTCAAAGGGTCATTGAACACGGATTTAGGCTTTAAAGCCCCTCACTGCTATTAGCAGAAACATGTTAGCGTTCTATTTATGTGTTTTTACAAGCAGCCAATAAAGATTCTCAGTCTCATGGATTGATCCGAGTCCTGGCCTAATCCTATTATGGATCACTTTGCTTAAGTGTGGGAACACAATTACCAGCGGTCTTCAGCCACGGGAAGCTGGGTCGGCGGTTGAGCATGGGTATTGTATACTTCCAGGGGTTAGACAAAAAAAAAATGGAAACACTCCATGATCTGCAGGTGTGAAAGTGACACCATATTTTGCTTTGAAAGCAGAAGTGATGTAACATTCTTTTGCTTTCGCTGTATGATGAGACACCATGCTAACAGGTGGGAAGCCTCACATTGGTCATTCACTGCGTGCGCTGCTAGCAATGCAGTCATGTCAGAGCTTACTGAGCTTCGAAGTGGGTGCCGCTTAGCTGGTGCCTCTGTGGCTGAAGTTGGCGATTTATTTCCCATGTCGGGAGATCCAGTACCAAAGGTTATGGCGGCATGTACAGTTTCCGGGAAAACGTCGTCTGATGAGCATAAGTGCGGTCGACATGGTCAGCTAACCGAAAGAGACAAAGGACATTGCGTGGGGTTGTGACCCGGAATAAGAAAGCAAATGCTGCAAAAGTGACTGCAGAGCTCAATCTCAGTGTGTGTGTAGAAGATCTTAGTGTAGGGGTGCTCAACCTGTGGCCCATGGAGCCCTTTGATGTGGCCCTCGACCTCAAACCAGGGAAGGGCACTTCTATTATATCCTACGGGTTTGGTTCACTTTCTGAAAGTGCACCAAAACTCATGAATGCAAGAGTCTATGGCAAAGCGCAATTAACCCTCAGGAAAGCCGCAGGGGCACTACACTGTACCCTCGGTGCAGGTAAACCACAGTGTGAAAGCAGCCTTATGGGGGCCTTAGGACAGTAAAGGCTCGTTTTTTACATTTGCGGTTTGGGTGGGCAGTAAAACCCCATAGTCAGTGTTTTTACGACATTCACTCAGCCACTGGTATAGCGCCAGGGGGTCGCAATGGTGACCTCACCCCATGTTCCAGGGGGCCCATGCGGCTTCCCTGTCACCTTCTGTTTTACACTTGAACAGGAGGGGCAGTGGGGGCTGCATATACAGGAACCCATCCTCTCCATTTTCCTCCTGCACCCGCTAAAAGGCAGTTTCTCTTCCTCTCCCTCCCCCCGAATTCATCGGCTGCAGGAGAAAAATGTTCATCATGCTATTCAAAGTAATAAATTTGAAATGATATATTTATTACAGGTACTTGTATAGCATTGTTTATAATATATATATATATATATATATATATATATATATATATATATTTATATATATATACACAGTCTGGTCCATAAATATTGGGACATCGACAAAATTCTAACATTTTTGGCCCTATACACTACCACAATGGATTTGAAATTAAACGAACAAGATGTGATTTAACTGCAGACTGTCAGCTTTAATTTGAGGGTATTTACATGCCAATCAGGTGAACAGTGTAGGAATTACAACAGTTTACATATTTGCCTCCCACTTGTTAAGGGACCAAAAGTAATGGGACAATTGTCTTCTCAGCTGTTCCAAGGCCAGGTGTGTGTTATTTCCTCATCATCCCAATTACAATGAGCAGATAAAAGGTCCAGAGTTCATTTCAAGTGTGCTATTTGCATTTGGAATCTGTTGCTGTCAACTCTCAAGATGAGATCCAAAGAGCTGTCACTATCAGTGAAGCAAGCCATCATTAGGCTGAAAAAACAAAACAAACCCATCAGAGAGATAGCAAAAACATTAGGCGTGGCCAAAACAACTGTTTGGAACATTCTTAAAAAGAAGGAACGCACCAGTGAGCTCAGCAACACCAAAAGACCCGGAAGACAACTGCGGTGGACGACTAAAGAATTCTTTCCCTGGTGAAGAAAACACCCTTCACAACAGTTGGCCAGATCAAGAACACTCTCCAGGAGGTAGGTGTATGTGTGTCAAAGTCAACAATCAAGAGAAGACTTCACCAGAGTGAATACAGAGGGTTCACCACAAGATGGAAACCATTGGTGAGCCTCAAAAACAGGAAGGCCAGATTAGAGTTTGCCAAACGACATCTAAAAAAAAGCCTTCACAGTTCTGGAACAACATCCTATGGACAGATGAGACCGAGATCAACTTGTACCAGAGTGATGGGAAGAGAAGAGTATGGAGAAGGAAAGGAACTGCTCATGATCCTAAGCATACCACCTCATCAGTGAAGCATGGTGGTGGTAGTGTCATGGCGTGGGCATGTATGGCTGCCAATGGAACTGCTTCTCTTGTAATTATTGATGATGTGACTGCTGACAAAAGCAGCCGGATGAATTCTGAAGTGTTTCGGGAATATTATCTGCTCATATTCAGCCAAATGCTTCAGAACTCATTGGACGCTTCACAGTGCAGATGGACAATGACCCAAAGCATACTGCAAAAGCAACCAAAGAGTTTTTTAAGGGAAAGAAGTGGAATGTTATGCAATGGCCGAGTCAATCACCTGACCTGAATCCGATTGAGCATGCATTTCACTTGCTGAAGACAAAACTGAAGGCGAAATGCCCCAAGAACCAGCAGGAACTGAAGACAGTTGCAGTAGAGGCCTGGCAGAGCATCACCAGGGATGAAACCCAGCGTCTGGTGATGTCTATGCGTTCCAGACTTCAGGCTGTCATTGACTGCAACGGATTTGCAACCAAGTATTAAAAAGTGAAATTTTGATTTCTGATTATTATTCTGTCCCATTACTTTTGGCCCCTTAACAAGTGGGAGGCACATATGCAAACTGTTGTAATTCCTACACCGTTCATTTGATTGGGATGTAAATACCCTCAAATTAAAGCTGACAGTCTGCAGTTAAAGCACATCTTGTTTGTTTCATTTCAAATCCATTGTGGTGGTGTATAGAGCCAAAAATGTTAGAATTTTGTCGATGTCCCAATATTTATGGACCTGACTGTGTGTGTGTATGTGTGTGTGTGTATATATATGTATGTGTATATATATATATATATATATATATATATATATATATATATATATATATATATATATATATATATATATATATATATATGACAATGCTATACAAGTGTATATGTGTGTGTGTATCCAAAGACATGCTGGTAGGTTAATTGGCTCCTGTCTAAATTGTCCCTAGTATGTGTATGTATGAATGTGAATTAGGGACCTTAGATTGTACCCCCTTGAGGGTTAGGGACTGGTGTGTGTGTGTGTGTGTGTGTCTGTGTCAGCCTGTCTTTGGATGGTGGGAGGAAACCCGCACAGGGAGAACATGCAAACTCCGTGCAGGTGGTTGGGATTCGAACCAACAACCCTAGTGCTGCCAGCCGGAAGTGCTAACCATATAGCCACTGTGCTGCCCATTGTGCGGGCCACAATGAAATTCTGAACCATTTCCTTCCATTGTGGCCCGTGACCGATTTACCAAATCACTTAAGTGGCCCTCAATCTTCCAAAGGTTGATCACCCTTGTCTTAGTGGCTATCATGTTAGGCCTCATGTACACTGCAGTAAATAAAAACAAAAAAAACTCCTTTTTACAGGCGGTTTTGACTTTTTTCTTTTTTCCTTCCTCTAAATGCCCCTGCCTGTTAGCCTATATGTCCATGCACACATAGGCATTTTCAGGCAGGAGCATTTAGAGGCAGTAAAATAACATTTGCATGTACAGAGAGGATGCAGTGGGTATAAATGGCATTGGAGAAGGTGTCTACTACCCCAATGCACAAAGCTTAAGAAAAAAGTCTATATACATTAAAGTCCATAATAACACATGGCTTTCATAGCAGAAAGTCGCAGCAGCCCCATAGAGTGAAGCAAATTCTGTCAATCTGGAAAAGGAGCACAAGGGGACACCAACTCAGTGCAGTATTAAAACATGAAGTTATTAAGAAGCCAATGGGCAACTCGCCTGTAAAAGGAGAAAGGCAGGCATGTCTGATTTATCTGCGGTCTGATGGTGGGCACAAGTCAGGTTCTCCAACTGGACTGATGTTTCTGCTCTTCATAGGAGGAAAGAAGGGCGGCTCCCTAGTGACACCACTTCCAGTGGTGTTCCGTATTTGCCCAGCTACTTTGACGATCCCCCATTGTCTTTGAGCGCGATGAAGAGCTGAAACATCAGTCCAGTTGGAGAACCTGACTTGTGCCCACCATCAGACAATCCTGTCTTTCTCCTTTTTACATGCGAGTTGCCCATTGGCTTTTTAATAGACTTGTGTTTTAATACTACACTAAGTTGGTGCCCTTTATGTACAGAAAGAGCATTTTGGGCAGAAAAATCTTGAAGATACATTAAAACATTCTAATGCATAGGTGTCAAAACTGGTGGCCCTCCAGCTGTTGCCAAACTACAAGTCCCATGAGGCAATGCAAGACTGACCGTTACAATCATTACTCCCAAAGGTAGAGGCATGATGGGGCTTGTAGTTTCGCAACAGCTGGAGGGCCGCCAGTTTGACACCCCTGTTCTAATGGCTAGAATAAATGAATACATTTATTATTCAGTCCAATAGAATGCATTAATGGCAAATGTGCATAAACGTTCGCAAATGTGCGTAACTGCTTGTAAAAAAAATGTGGCTTTTACTGCGTTTTTTAAGGTCCTCAGGAAAAGGCACCCAAAGGAGCACAGTGCATATGAAACCTTAATGTATTCCTTCCATCAGAAATACCTGGTTGATCCAGCCAGTCCCTTTTCTTTGTTCTAAAATGACCATGCAAAGTAGGAACGTATGCTGCTTGCGTGGTCGGTTTGTGTCCCATGGGCTTACATTCAGTGGTACAGGACTTCCATAGTCTGTTTAGCCATCACATCCCTGATCTGTAGACTGCTTGTGGCTCTAAGCCCTAGTAGGTATGGGGCCTACATAGCAAGAGCTAGGGGTTTGAGGAAGAGGCAAGTCCTCGAAACGCGTCAGCCTATTGGATGTCTACACTCCCTATTGCGGACTGTTACTCAGCGCGGTGTTGACCCAGCTGTTCTTTTATGATGTGCCTTGACTTTATTGTCGTTTGTGAGTACAACACCTACTTTATTTCTTATTAAACATTTTTTATGGTAATGCACTAGGCCTGTGCGCCCTCTCTTTGTTCTTTCCTCATAGCAAGAGCTATAGCTGAAGGTGCCTGGAAGCCTCACCACTAATTTAACTCAAATTTGGGCATGTCTAGAGTTCTGCTTTAACATTGACACAATTTCTTGCTCCGTATAGTCTTTGACGCCATGGAACGGTATGAACTACAGGCCGTGATTGTTGCAAACTCTCCTCTCGTTGAGCTGAGTAAGCGGAGTCCACGCCTGGCCCATTATGGAGATCTTCTCTAGATTGGCGATGGCTCCCCTCTGTGCGCCGTAATGTTCCGGGGATTATACCGAAGCTCCTCTGCTATGGTCATATTAATCGGTTCGATCCTAGGCTTCCCTCACTCTCTGCATGTAATGAGCCTGTGCTGGAGACAACATCGAGGTTAAGGATGCGGTACATTATCTTTAGATTGCGATTTAATACATGATGCATTTTTAATGTTGACCCGAGGCTTTGTTATGCAGAGAGCATACGCTGTTATCGCTGTACGTATTGCTGCTTAGGCTATCCCCAGCCTGTCTGTCAAAGAACTACAAGTCACAGCATTCCTGGCCTGCAACAGGGCTCTGAGGAAGAGGCTGAGTCCTCGAAATGCATCATCCCGGGTTCCATCGTATGGACTCGGATGCTATTTGGATTGAACACCTTGCTCATTGTGATATGCCTGTGTTTTATATGTCCAGTGTGAGTATGATGCTTACTTTTTTATTCTCTCAATAAATATTTTTAAACGATAATGCACTAGGCTGGTGCGCCCTCTTTTTGTTTTTTTCATTTGCATTTAGTGACTTTGGACCACCCCGGTCTGTTGAGGGCAGCAAGCAGTGCATATTCCATCAATCAATAAACTCCTTCCCTTCCACTCCCACCAAAAAGTCACACTTTCTCCCTAGAAAGTATACAATCCAACATATCCTTTTTTGTGGTAAAACATATAAATCCCCCATAAAACCCAAAATTAAAATCTACAAATATAATCAATTTATACAATAAAAATAAATATTAATCACTTAAACTTAAAAATTGTGTTCAGATAAATTCACTCCCAATTGTGTCTCAAAATCACAAAATAAAATTACATAAAATGAAATAAAATCCCAATGTGTCCAAAATCCAAGTTCCAAATTTTTCACTTCAATCCAGTTAAAAGGAAATTGATCCTAAATATTCCATGAAAACCTCAAAAAAAAGAAAAAAGAACATTCATAGTATATTATCTTTTTTAAATATATGTACTTCACTCTGTGCAAAACACAAAACTACTCTTAAAATAGTGATGAAAAAAAAAAAAACAAACTTGTGCAAGTAATATATAAATATATACTTATTCTTTCACTGCATAAATAAATATTTATTTAATATAATATATAATATTTTGGGTTTTATTTATTTATGCAGTGAAAGAATAAGTATATATTTATATATTACTTGCACAAGTTTGTTTTTTTTTTTTTTTCTCACTATTTTAAGAGTGGTTTTGTGTTGGGTTTTATGGGGGATTTATATGTTTTACCACGAAAAGGATATGTTGGAGTGCATATTCCAGAATATTCACATTGTCTCTGCTGAGTCCATCCCCAGCGCAGGAGAAAAGTGTTTGCTGTGTAGGATAGTCAAAACGGACAAGAAAAGTCTGCATCCATGGTCCTGCTCATGGACCGTACCAAAAGCCCACCTCTGGGAAATGCCTTGTAGCGGGGCTGCACAAGGGTTAATTGCTTGTTAAAGTGGAACTTCCCTCTCTCAATCCACATGGACTATTTTTAATACTTATGCTGCCAGGATTAGTAGAAAAATAGGAACGTATATCATATTTACTTGTTTTAAATGGGGTTTTTTTTATTTTTCTACAGTTACTTCCTAGTTTCCATGTCTAGGCAAATGATGTCATACATCCCAGGAGGGGAGGGAGGGTTCTCAGCTCATCCTATGCCTGAGCTAATGGCAGATGGATTCCAGGAGGTAAATGCTACATAAATCATCTGCCCTTACTCAAGATGGCCACTGCCAGAAATACCAGGGGTGGTTTTCAAAATGAATTCTCAGCAAAATAAAGCATGGAGACATGGATGGATGGGGGAGTTTGCTTTGATTTATTAAATGGCATTTTCGGTTTGTGCTCAGATGCAGTGCAGTTCCACTTTAAGTATAGAGGGCACACAAAAGATCATTACTTGCCCTCTGTGCTGCTAGACTGGTACCTGAAGCCTCTTCTCCCCCACACTCCAGAAGTCTAAAGTCCGAATGTCATTAAGACTAGTACAGGGTCCATAGCCCTCCATCGGATGTAATGACACTGAGGGACACTCCACTTCAAGATACTTGGTCGTGTATGTGTACGTGTGTGTGTGTATATATATATATATGTATGTATGTGTGTGTATGTGTACATATATATATATATATATATGAGAGAGAGCAAAATTCTTTCTACATCGCTCTTCTCTCATGCTGCTATCTTGAATTGAAATCCCACTTTTGTATAGACTTTTAGGAGGTCCCTGCCAGGTCTGTGGGACCAGGCAGAGAGAGGAGCCGTGAATCTCCACATGCGGCAGATTTTCAGGGCGTGACTCAAATATCAGCCAATTCATCCTGCCAAAATTTGGGCCGCGTATGGCTAGCCCTAGACTGGGGTAAGAGAAAAGGGTCAGCGAGGTTTAGGGCCCAATTTACACTGCGGTATAACTAAAGCCAAACTGTTTTGGGGTTTGTTTTTTTTTTGGAATGGGGGTATGTGTGTGTACTGAATGTATGTTTACCGAATAAAGGGGTACACGCTTTGATAATTTTTAAGAATCACCTTTCTAAGCCATCAATCATTTTCTTTCATTGCAGACAAAATGGCGGACAGAAACGAAATCAAGCCCGTTGGAGAGGATTCTGAGGATGAGGTTGACCTGAGTTATAAGGCACCTGAGAAGAAATCCGTACAAGAACTCCAGGAGATGGACAAAGATGACGAAAGTTTGATGAAATACAAACAGGCTTTGCTTGGAAGCTTGCCAACTTCTGTGGGTAAGTCTGTCCGGCTGGTCAGAGTTGTAACTACGTGCATTGGGGCCCCGTAGCATACCCATTAGGGGGACCCTAATCTCCATCTCCAAGACAATTCATATAACAGAAAAACTTAATGTTTAGAGGTTGCTAAACTTTTTATATGATAACTTTATCCATCTGTTTTTGTCAAGTGATCTTGCTATGTGCATAAAGCACTATGAAGCTAGTTAGCTCTGGGTCTCCTTCTGGCCCCATAGCAGTCGTATGGTCTTGTCTAGATTTAAACTCTTCCTAGAAATGCATGGTCTAGGTCTTCATTTTGTGTCTTAAATTTAATAGGATATTCGACTTATGAAGATTTGTGGAAAACCCATAAACCGTGTGCAATCCATGAATAATTCTCTTTTATGGCCAGTGACACTCCCACAGCTCTAATCTATAATAATAGCAAAAAATGCACTTTTGCTGGTAGATTAAGAGGCATTTTATCGAGAATAATGACAAGTACATCAAATCAACGTGTTTCGGGAGGAAAGACTCTCCCTTCTTCAGGATAGAAGAATGTAGCAACCAAATGCATGTACTCCTGCGCTGAACTGTGGACTCCACAATATTAGTATCCCCACATGAGTTAGTGAAATGCAGGCCTTGCTGCCCTCAACGAACCAGGGAAATCCAAAGAGAACTGTATATAGAAAACAAAGAGAGGGCGCACAGGCCTAGTACCTTTAAAAAATGGGATTTATTAATAAATAGTAAAATACTCACAAAGAAATGTAAAATCAAATTAAAATGGGAAGCATGTCGCAAGGGTTGCAGCTCTGAGGAAGAGGTACAACCTCGAAACGCATCAGGACCAGCTATCCAGAGGCTCACAGTCCCCCCACCAGACCACCCACAGGGGTTCCTAAACCACTCTGCATCCCTTGCGACATGCTTCCCATTTTAATTTGATTTTACATTTCTTTGTGAGTATTTTACTATTTATTAATAAATCTTTGTTTTCTCCCTTCTTCAGGGCTGTTGCTGCATACTATTAAATGGAAAAGATTTCAACAACGGTTATATATTTGCCAGGTTTCGGAGGAAATCCTCTGTGGTCACTCTGTGTCCGAGGTACACGGCCGGTGACAGATCGCGCCACTGCAGGAGGGCAAACTGCGCATGCCCGGTAGGACGCCATATGGCGTCTACCCGGAACGCTGAGGGATTTTGCCGGCCGCCAAACGGCCATTGGCCGGGCGGCAAGAGGTTAAAAGTGTTGTGTGGATAAACATTACATAATGACAAATAATGACCACAACTCTGATCTCAATATCACTGCAAACAAGAAAATTACACTTAGCGTCTACTAGTTAGGACCATCGTCCCTGTGCTGCCCACATACTCCCAAGTGTGGAATATATAAATAATGATGCAAAAAAGTATAGATACTTATAAAATAAATGTCCACCAAAATCAAATAAACTGTCCAAGTTGCATAAAAAAAATTGGCAGTGAAGACAGGTGAAACTCGAAAAAATTAGAATATCGTGTAAAAGTTCATTTATTTCAGTAATGCAACTTAAAAGGTGAAACTAATATATGAGATAGACTCATTACATGTAAAGCAAGATAGTTCAAGCCGTGATTTGTCATCATTGTGATGATTATGACTTACAGCTCATGGAAACCCCAAATCCACAATCTCAGAAAATGAGAATATTACATGCAATCAGTAAAACAAGGATTGTACATAGAACAATATCGGACCTCTGAAAAGTAGAAGCATGCATATGTACTCAGTACTTGGCTTGGGCCCCTTTTGCAGCAATTACTGCCTCAATGCGGCGTGGCATGGAAGCTATCAGCCTGTGGCACTGCTGAGGTGTTATGGAAGACCAGGATGCTTCAGTAGCGGCCTTCAGCTCTTCTGCATTGTTCGGTCTCATGTGTCTCATCTTTCTCTTGGCAATGCCCCATAGATTCTCTATGGGGTTCAGGTCAGGCGAGTTTGCTGGCCAGTCAAGCACAGTAATCCCACGGTCATTGAACCAGGTTTTGGTGCTTTTGGCAGTGTGGGCAGGTGCCAAGTCCTGCTGGAAAATGAAGTCTGCATCCCCATAAAGCTCCTCTGTGGAAGGAAGCATGAAGTGCTCCAAAATCTCCTGGTAGACGGCTGCGTTGACCCTGGACTTGATAAAGCACAGTGGACCAACACCAGCAGATGACATGGCTCCCCAAATCCACACAGACTGTGGAAACTTCACACTGGACTTCAAGCATCTTGCAGTGTGTGCCTCTCCATTGTTCCTCCATACTCGGGGTCCTTGGGCCTCTCCATTCTTCCTCCATACTCGGGGTCCTTGGGCCTCTCCATTCTTCCTCCATACTTGGGGTCCTTGGGCCTCTCCATTCTTCCTCCATACTCGGGGTCCTTGGGCCTCTCCATTCTTCCTCCATACTCTGGGTCCTTGGTTTCCAAATGAGATGCAAAAGTTGCTGTCATCAGAAAAGAGGACTTTGGACCACTGAGCAAAAGACCAGGTCTGTTTTTCTTTAGCCCAGGTAAGACGCTTCTGATGTTGTTTGTTGTTCAGGAGCGGCTTGACAAGAGGAATACGACATTTGAAGCCCATGTCCAGGATCCGTCTGTGTGTGGTGGCTCTTGATGCACTGACTCCAGCCTCAGTCCACTCCTTGTGAAAGTCCCCAACACTTTTGAATGGCCTTTTTCTGACAATCGTCTCCAGGGTGCGGTCATCCCTGCTGCTTGTGCACCTTTTTGTTCCACACTTTCCCTTCCTCATAACTTTCTATTAATGTGCTTTGATACAGCACTTTGGGAACATCCAACTTCTTTTGCAATTACCTTTTGAGGCTTTCCCTCCTTATGGAGGGTGTCAGTGATGGTTTTCTGCACAACTGTCAGGTCAGCAGTCTTTCCCATGATTGTGATTTCTACTGAACCAGACTGAGAGACCATTTAAAGGCTCAGGAACCCTTTGCAGGTGTTATCGCTTAATTAGCTGATTAGAGTGGGACACTTTGAGCCGAGAATATTGCACCTTTTCACAATATTCTCATTTTCTGAGATTGTGGATTTGGGGTTTTCATGAGCTGTAAGCCATAATCGTCACAATTATGACAAATCACGGCTTGAACTATCTTGCTTTGCATGTAATGAGTCTATCTTATGTATTAGTTTCACTTTTTAAGTTGCATTACTGAAATAAATGAACTTTTGCACGATATTCAAATTTTTTGAGTTTCAACTGTATATCTTCAATCCAAATGAAGAGTCCCCAATGTGATGCAACTGAATTGTGCTCCACCAATGTGCAAAGTGGCTGCTTACCTCCAATAATGACCCATACTTTCATATAAGTCAAATACACTTTTATCTGTTAAATCCCCAGACACTGGATGCTGCTATCTCCCCACCTGTAGACCGCTCAAATGGGTATTCCCCGGCCATCAGATTTGATCAGTAGGAAATCAGAAAAGATAGTGAAAAGGGATGCCCATGGTGTAGTATTTCCAACAAAAATTTATTGAATAAAAGAATGGCACTCACATATAACCGTAAAATACAGACTCATCTGCGTACCACATAGAGGAAAAACAACACCTTCCAGTCTCAGCCGTGACCGGAAGTGACATAACTTGGCTTCATCCGACGCGTTGCGTCACAGCTCACGTGACTTCTTCAGGGATGTAATATATTTGGCAGCGCAAATGTATTTAACGATCAAGAATGCTGCTGCTAGACTCATCCACCTTACCACCCGGTCAGTGTCTGTCGCTCCCCATCTGCCAATCCCTCCAATGGCTTCCGCTAGCCCAATATATACAATTTATAATATTAAAGCGATTCTAAAGGTTCATTTTTTTTTTTTTTTTTGTAAAATTACAAACATGTCTATACTTACCTGCTGAGTATAGTGGTTTTGCACAGAGCAGCCTGGATTCTTCTCTTTTCAGGACCCCCGCATGCTCCTGGCTCCTCCTGTCCGTCGGTGCCACCACAGCAAGCAGCTTGCTATAGGGGCACCCGCTACTCCGTGTGTCCATTCACACATGGAGCCATGGCTAGGCCACGCCCCCTTCTCCTTATTGGCTGTTTGGCTGTGATTGACAGCAGTGGGAACTGATGACTCCCGCTTGCTGCCTCAGCCAATGAGGTGCAGAAAGAGGAGGCAGAGACCCGGGACAGCCGAGGCTGTCATTCACATCGCTGGATTGCGATGAGGCTTAGGTAAGTATTGAGGGGGCTGGGGGCACTGCTGCACATAGGTTTTTTACCTTCCATAGAATGCAGGAAGGTGAAAAACCGTCAGCCTTTACAACCACTTTAACCACAACATGCAGAACCATCCACAACTACATCGCCAACCATCTCTCAAAATATCACCTAAATCATCCTCTTAACTCCTCCCAAGACCTCATGGTCTCTAGCTCCATCATCACTTTCTCCCATGCTCTTCTCCAGGACTGATCCAGAGCCTCTCTTCCTCTGGAACTCCCTTCCCCAATCTTTCCAGCTATTTCCTACTCTCTGTCTTTAGACGTTCCCTGAAAATTCATCTCTTCAGGTAGGCCTCTCCCACCTCCACCTAAAAACTGCACTTTTACGTTCTCTATCAGCTCACCTCCATGGATATTACCTTTTTGTATCACTTGCCCCTCCCTAGTAGATTGTAAACACTCATGAACAGGGTCATCCTAATCCTACTTTATTGTATTGTCTCCCTTTAATTTGTAAAGCAGTTTTTGTAAAGAAATCCCGTATAACTATGAAAAAATAAAAAAAAAAAGATTGTCTTGATTTGGGCTTTCAAAGGAAGCTGTCAGACAACACAGTTTTCCTGAAGATCTACTAAAATGTTTATTCGAATCCCTGCCAGCTTCAATTATAGAAAGGTTATATTTAATCTCACCATGACATTGATTAGATAGATGAGGTCGGTCCTCGTATTAAAAAGATTTGGTAAATCAAAAGTTGATTTTGAGGGTTATAACAAATATGGTGGCCCTTAGAGATCTAAACAGGTTTGGAATGTTTGAATCTATAAACAGGTTTTTATTTACAGGGAAGGTCTTTGACTGTAAGATATACAGTCATGGCCGAAATTGTTGGCACCCTTGATATTTCTCCAGGAAATCATGTATTTCTCACGAAACGTATTGCATTAACACATGTTTTGCTATACACATGTTTATTCCCTTTGTGTGTATTGGGACAAAACAAAAAAAGGGAGGAAAGAAAGCAAATTCGACATAATGTCACACAAACCTCCAAAAATGGGCTGGACAAAAGTATTGGCACCCTTTCACAACTGCGGATAAATAAGAATGTTACAAGCATGTGATGCTCCTGTAAACTCACCTGGGGCAAGTAACAGGTGTGGGCAATATAGAAATCACACCTGAAAGCAGATAAAAAGGAGAGACGTTCACTTAACCTTTGCATTGTGTGTCTGTCTGTGCCACACTAAGCATGGACAACAGAAAGAGGAGACGAGAACTGTCTGAGGACCTGAGAACCAAAATTGTGGCAAAATATCAACAATCTCAAGGTTACAAGTCCATCTCCAGAGAACTAGATTTGCCTTTGTCCACAGTGCGCAACATTATCAAGAAGTTTGCAACCCATGGCACTGTAGCTAATCTCCCTGGTCGTGGACGGATGAGGAAAATTGATGAAAGATTGCAACGCAGAATAGTCCGGATGGTGGATAAGCAGCCCCAAACATGTTCCAAAGACATTCAAGCTGTCCTGCAGGCTCAGGGAGCATCAGTGTCAGCGCGAACTATCCGTCGACATTTAAATGAAATGAAACGCTATGGCAGGAGACCCAGGAGGACCCCACTGCTGACACAGAGACATAAAAAAGCAAAACTACAGTTTGCCAAAATGTACTTGAGTAAGCCAAAAGCCTTCTGGGAAACGTCTTGTGGACAGATGAGACCAAGATAGAGCTTTTCGGTAAAGCACATCATTCTACTGTTTACCGAAAAACGGAATGAGGCCTACAAAGAACAAAACACAGTACCTACGGTAAAATATGGTGGAGGTTCAATGATGTTTTGGGGTTGTTTTGCTGCCTCTGGCACTGGGTGCCTTGACTGTGTGCAAGGCATCATGAAATCTGAGGATTACCAAAGGATTTTGGGTCGCACTGTAGGGCCCAGTGTCAGAAAGCTGGGTTTGCGTCCAAGATCCTGGGTCTTTCCAGCAGGACAATGACCCCAAACATACGTCAAAAAGCACTCAGAAATGGATGGCAAAGAAGCGCTGGAGAGTTCTGAAGTGGCCAGCAATGAGCCCAGATCTAAATCCCATTGAACACCTGTGGAGAGATCTTAAAATTGCTGTTGGGAAAAGGTGTCCTTCCAATAAGAGAGACCTGGAGCTGTTTGCAAAGGAAGAGTGGTCCAAAATTCCGGGTGAGAGGTGTCAGAAGCTTATTGATGGTTATAGGAAGCGACTGATTTCAGTTATGTTTTCCAAAGGGTGTGCAACCAAATATTAAGTTAAGGGTGCCAATACTTTTGTCCAGCCCATTTTTGGGGTTTTGTGTGACATTATGTCATATTTGCTTTTCTGCCTCTGTTTTATATTTGTTCCAATACATACAAAGGGAATAAACATGTGTATAGCAAAACATGTGTTAATGCAATACCTTTTTTGTGTGAAATACTTGATTTTCAGGAAAAATATCAAGGGTGCCAACAATTTCGGCCATGACTGTAAATCCGCATTTAAAACCCCTCAATCGAATCTATGTGCGCCGCGCCATCTGTGCTCCGTGCCGGCAGGTGAGCCGTAACATGTGTTCATGGCATATTTCTGGGTGTCGTGCTGCGACACAGATGTGGCTGTACAGATGATTGATCATGCGAGGCAAACGGGGACATTTAGCCGCGGATCTTTCCAGAGGAATCCTGGAGAGACGTTTTAATAGAACTGAGATGATGTGAGCCGGATAAATGGGTCGTGGAGTAAAGTTCACTGCAGTCTCTCTGGGACCGTGGTCAGCCCTGAAAAGAGCCACCACTTAAGAATCCATCAGTCTCCTCCGAAGAGATGCAATTAGCAAGTTGTGACAGAAGCAATTCGTCTCTGAAAGCCTTGTTTGAACCTTTCTGTGGAGGAGGACCATGTAGTGTGGTTGTAGACCAGCCAATCTCAACCAGGATTCCGTGGAACCATGGGGTTCCTTCAGAGGTTGCTGGGGGTTCCTTGGAATGTGGTTAACTGACCTCCCATTTGATAGTAACGGTGCAAATCCAAGGACAGTGCTATTTAGCAAAACAAGTAGCATGACACCAATTACATTTTTTTAGCAGTCTGTAAGGGTGGCATTCTGACCTCCTGCTGTAAGGGTTGTCCTCTTCCTATTGATCATCCATGTAAAAGGCATTTATCCCATTGACCCCTGATGAGTTGGTTTTGGTAAGGGATGGGTAGTGTGCCTAGAGCAGTGTACATGACAACTAACATGAACTGCTTGTTCCAAGCAAAGAGATGTGGGGGGGTCAGGAGCTCATGGATCACCTGACAAGGAGATGAACAAACACCTTAGGACAGGGGTGTCAAACTGGTGGCCCTCCAGCTGTTGCGAAACTACAAGTCCCATCATGCCTCTGCCTTTAGCTGTCATGATAGCGGATGCCCAGACACGCCGTACACCCAGATGGCGGATGCCCGGACGCGCCGTACACCCAGATGGCGGATGCCCGGACGCGCCGTACACCCAGATGGCGGATGCCCGGACGCGCCGTACACCCAGATGGCGGATGCCCGGACGCGCCGTACACCCAGATGGCGGATGCCCGGACGCGCCGTACACCCAGATGGCGGATGCCCGGACGCGCCGTACACCCAGATGGCGGATGCCCGGACGCGCCGTACACCCAGATGGCGGATGCCCGGACGCGCCGTACACCCAGATGGCGGATGCCCGGACGCGCCGTACACCCAGATGGCGGATGCCCGGACAACGCCGTACACCCAGATGGCGGATGCCCGTACACCCAGATGGCGGATGCCCAGACTCGCCGTACACCCAGATGGCGGATGCCCAGACTCGCCGTACACCCAGATGGCGGATGCCCAGACTCGCCGTACACCAAGATGGCGGATGCCCGCACACCCAGATGGCTGATGCCCAGTTTCCCCGTACACCCAGACGGGCGGATGCCCGGACACGCCGTACACCAGACTCCAAAGAGGGGGACACCACAACCTGCCATGACCAAGAAATAAGCTGCCTGCCCCTCCATGATTCCCACAGCCGGATATGACCTCACATCCATCATTCCAGCCTGCAGCTCTGGAGAGTGGTGGGGAGGAACCAGTGCAGTAGAAGCCTGGGGTTCCTTTGTTCTCTAGGCACTCTATAGACCAGCTGAGCCTTCATTGCACAGAGCCTGGAGCTGTTAGCCGACGTCACTTCCAGTATTGGTTTTAGGTATCATCCCAGATCACATAAAATCATCCAAAATTGCACATAAAATATACACCCCTTCAGTCTAAGTTAAGGGAAGGTCACCTACCTAGGAAATCTTGGACTGGGAGAGGTTACACACAGCCTACAGGTATGACACTGAAAAGAAACTGTAACCCACAGCAGTACAATCAGTCTGTAGATGCAGTAAAGCATGCTTGTTATACTCACTGTGGAACCTAAGGGGTTAATCCTCCGCATTGTGTAAAAATGCTGTTTGATCCTGTCTTCTCTGATTCTCCTCTTGTTCAAATGTCCACCTGATAAGGCAGACTGAACCGTAGCCATTCTGCACATGCTCAGTTGCTGGGGTTAATCCTCTTTTTTTTTTTTTTTTTTTTTTTATTCACCAGATATAGTGAATGCTGGGTCCGGGGAGACCGGATATAGTGAATGCTGGGTCCGGGGAGAGCAGATATAGTGAATGCAGGGTCCAGGGAGACCAGATATAGTGAATGCAGGGTCCGGGGAGACCTGATATAGTGAATACAGGGTCCGGGGAGACCAGATATAGTGAATGCAGGGTCCGGGGAGACCAGATATAGTGAATGCAGGGTCCGGGGAGACCAGATATAGTGAATACAGGGTCCGGGGAGACCAGATATAGTGAATGCAGGGTCCGGGGAGACCAGATATAGTGAATGCAGGGTCCAGGGAGACCAGATATAGTGAATGCAGGGTCCGGGGAGACCGGATATAGTGAATGCAGGGTCCGGGGAGACCGGATATAGTGAATGCTGGGTCCGGGGAGACCGGATATAGTGAATGCGGGGTCCGGGGAGACCGGATATAGTGAATGCGGGGTCCGGGGAGACCGGATATAGTGAATGCGGGGTCCGGGGAGACCGGATATAGTGAATGCGGGGTCCGGGGAGACCGGATATAGTGAATGCGGGGTCCGGGGAGACCAGACATAGTGAATGCGGGGTCCGGGGAGATCGGACATAGTGAATGCGGGGTCCGGGGAGATCGGACATAGTGAATGCGGGGTCCGGGGAGACCGGATATATAGTGAATGCGGGGTCCGGGGAGATTGGACATAGTGAATGCAGGGTCCTGGACTTAATAACCGTTTAATGTATAACGGGTGAACAATGGGCTCCCATACAGGTTAGGCAGGCTGGAGAAAGAGGCGTAGCTTCCTCGAAACACGAAGCCATGCACTCTTGACTCCACTTGGTGTCTGACATCACACTGGACTGTTCCCACGTTGTCAAATCGGTTTAATAGGCTCTGGGTTCACCTGGGCTGGCTTAGGTGCTTGAATCTTGGACTGGATTCCCATGCACTGAGCATCATCATCCAAATGACATTTTTTGTCCATAAGACAGGCTCATTTATTTTAACTATCTGTGAGTATCTGTTTATCTTTTCTATTAATAACCAATAGTTCTACTGCACTTAGATCGCCTCTTCTGGTGTTTTTTTTTTTTTTTGTTTTTTAATGTATCATCTGTGAATGGGTCAATGGGCTCCCATACAGGTTAGGCAGGCTTTAGAAAGAGGCTTAACCGCCTCAAAATGCATAGCCGTGCCCCATTGACACCCCTCCGGCATATGATGTCACACCGTCCCTATGCTGACAGAATGGCTCTGAGTTCACCCAGGCTGGTGGAGGTGCCTGAATCTCGGACTGTTTTCCCATGCACTGAGCATCATCCAGACTACATCCCTGGTCAATACGACAGGCGCATTTATTTTTACTACATGTGAGTGGCTACTTTTTTCTTTTCTATCAATAAACATTAGTTTTACTGCACTTTTATAGCGTTTTTTTTTTTTTTTTCTTGTACCAGGGAAGCTGGTAATTAATTATGTAATGTTCTTTCCTATTATCCCTTCAGTAGCCTGAGAGATTTTGATGAATTATGTTTCAACTTTAGTTGACTTTTTAAAAGAAAAAACATCCAGATTTTCCCCAGGATTGTTCATTTTACAGGGCAGTTATTTTCGGTGAAAACATGAAGTTGCTCTAGTGTAATATTCCCTTCAAAATGTCATGACAATGAACCGCTTTTCCCGCAGTATCCGGTCAGCCGTGTCAGCTTCATTTTAAAAATGGTATTACGTGACAAATGTTGGCTGTCTGGCATTTTAAGCGTATGTCAGACATATCAATAATCAGCGTATTAACATTTAGACCTCGGAGAAGCGATGGGATGGAAGCCGGCGCTGAGGCGTAAGCCCGAACCGAAGCGGTTATTGAAGATGGCTGCTGGTCCGCTATCACTGCTGAATAGGGAGTGATTGATGGAGCCAGGCCCGCGTCTGATAAATTAAATTATGATCCTAGCTTACAAAAAGCCATTAGGAACTCTATTTCCTGATCGAATTACCCGTTAACGTTGTCTGCCGGTAATAGGCTGAGTTGGTGTGTCAGGGTTATGTGAGCTAAGAGCGGCTCGTCTCTTGGGATGAAGATAGGGAGAGTGGATCGGGCCTGATGGAGAACAGCTAGTGTTTGTACAGCCGGCTTGATGGGCCTGTTTAAAGGATCACTCTGGTGGTAATAAAGACAAAAAAAAAATTTCCATAAAAATCCTAAATTCTTTCCAGGGGCTTGATAAAATATAAAAAAAAAAATGTGTAAAATGACTTTCAGTTTAAAGCAACAAACTACCATTTGTAATACTACTTTTAATGTGCCATTTAACCTCTTAGCGCTGGAACCTCCCGGCCCTTTAAGAGGTTTCAGAAGCCCGGAGGTGGGCGGGGTTTTAGGGTCATGTGACCGCCGTGATTCGCTGTCAAAGCGGTCACATGATCGGGAAAGGTCCCGATCGAAAGGGGAGATTGGGACCTTTCCGTGAGTCACAGACATGTGCTGGGAGCAGACAGGGCGCACACTCCCAGCACATATGTATTTTCTAATTGCACGCAAATATGCGGCCGCTTGGCGTCAAGGCCCAGACGCCGACAGGCCACATATATGCGTGCGCTTAGCGACAAGGCCCAGACGCCGACAGGCCACATATATATGCGTGCGCTTAGCGACAAGGCCCAGACGTCAACAGGCCACATATATCCGTGCGCTTAGCGACAAGGCCCAGACGCTGAGAGGCCACATATATGCGTGCGCTCGGCGTCAAGGCCCAGACTCCGAGAGGCCACATATATGCGTGCGCTCGGCGTCAATGCCCAGATTCCGAGAGGCCACATATATGCGTGCGCTCGGCGTCAATGCCCAGACGCCGACAGGCCACATATGTGCGTGCGCTCGGCGTCAATGCCCAGATTCCGAGAGGCCACATATATGCGTGCGCTTGGCGTCAATGCCCATACGCCGAGAGGCCACATATGTGCGTGCGCTCGGCATCAAGGGGTTAACCCAGAGCAGTTTTTTGCAAATTTGGTTTATTATTTTATTTCAGGTACTTATATAGAGCCATCAATTTACGTCGCACTTTACATATATATTGTACATTCACATCAGTCCCTAACCCTCAAGGGGCGTACAATCTAAGGTCCCTAACCCTCAAGGGGTGTACAATATAAGGTCCCTAACCCTCAAGGGGTGTACAATCTCTAAGGTCCCTAACTCACCTGCATACATACACATATTAGGGCCAATTCAGACATGATCCAATTAACCTACCAGCATGTCTTTGGAGTGTGGGAGGAAACCGGAGTACCCAGAGGAAACCCACGCCAGCACAGGGAGAACATACAAACTCCATGCAGGAGGCGCCATGGGCGGGAATCAAACCCATGACCCATTTACTGCAAGGCAGATATGCTAACCACTAAGCCACTGTGCCGCCCTTTAAAAAGAATTCTTTTTTCGACCTGAAAATTTACGGCGTAACCCCCACACACGATGTATTTTCTAAAAGCAGACACCATGGAGAATAAAATGATGGAAGTTCCAATTTTTTATGCCACGTGATATTAGCTCAACTATTTTATGAAACACAAACTTTTAGTAAAAAATACACTAAAGTTAATTTTAGAGCTCACAAATGCAATAAATTAACATTTTTATTTATTTTTTGGTAAAATATAAAAGATGATGTTGCGCCAAGTAAATAGACATCCAACCTTAAAATTGCGTGTGCCAATTAAAGGTCAAAGGGACTCTATATTTTCCATAAGCAGCATCTACAGGTCATCAGTTTAGCATCATGAATAATGGGCCTAGAATTATTGCTGTCACTCTGATGTGCGTGGTGATATGTAGTTTGTAACGCAATCAACGTTTTCATGCACAGGCGCCCCAGATGCATGCATATACATTCATAAGTTGAGGGGGGGGGGGGGTAATGGGATTTTAAGTGCTTGGGTATAACTTAATTTTTTTTATACTTTGTAAATCTGGATAGACAGTATCTCCAATGCAGTTAAAACCGTCTGTGTATTAGCAGTTTGCTTGGAGTACAGCTTTCAATAAAGCTATAATTATTTTGGGTGGCTTATTTTTCAAAATGTATACATTTTTATGTGCCCTTTTTAAAATACACCTGTTCAATTGCTTGGTAACACAAATTGCTAATCAGCCAATCACATGGCAGCATTTAGGCATCTAGACCAGTGGTCTCCAAACTGTGGCCCTGGGGCTGGATGCTGCCCTTTGTTTGCCTTTATCCGGCCCTTGAGGCACCTTTCCTCCCACTGATACAGGACACTATTCCTCCCACTGACATCAACAATGGGGCATAAGAACACCAATGGTCAGGCACTCAAACTGACACCAACGATAGGGCACTATTCCTTCCACTGACACCAGCAATGGGGTCCTATTTCTCCCACTGACGTCAACAGCAGGGCACTATACCTCCCACTGACACCAATGGTGAGGCACTCAAATTGACACCAACGACAGGGCACTATTCCTCCCACTGACATCAGCAATGGGGCACTATTCCTCCCACTGACACCAACAATGGGGCATAATTCCTGCCACTGACACCAATGATAGGGCACTATGCCTTCCACTGACACCAGCAATGGGGCCCTATTTCTCCCACTGACATCAACAACAGGGCACTATACCTCCTACTGACACCAATGGTGAGGCACTCAAATTGACACCAAGGATAGGGCACTATTCCTCCCACTGACACCAGCAATGGGCACTATTGCTCCCCCTAATACCAAAGATGCATTGTTTACTCCCACTGACACCAGGACAATTTCAACTCCCAATGGCCACAGACCAGCCCCCCTAAAGTCTGAAGGACAGTAAACTGGTCCTTTCTTTAGAAACTTTGGAGACCCCTGATCTAGACAAAAGAGCTGCAAGCAAGCAGTGTCTGCTGTGCTGTCCCGTAGTGCTCACAGAATCCCTAATTTATGTTTTAAATGTTCACTGGCATTACAAAGATAGTACATACACTAACCAGCCACTTGTTCAATTCCTTGGTAACACAAATTGCTAATCAGCCAATCGCATGGCAGCAACTCAATGCGTTTAGGCATCTAGACGTGGTGAAGACGACTTGTGAAGTTCAAACCGAGCATCAGAATGAGAAAGAAAGGAGAATTAAGTGATTTGAATGTGGCATGGTTGTTGGTGCCAGAAGGGATCACTGTATTGGTGTCACTGTATGTGTGTTTTTATGTGTGTATGTATATATGTGTGTGTTGTGTGTATATATTTTTTTTTTTTATTTTGTTTTTTTTTTTTTGTGTGTGTTTTTGTTTTTTTTTTTTTTTTTTTTTTTTTTTTTTTTTTACAGTCATGGCCGAAATTGTTTTTTTTTTTGATTTTTTGAAAATCAAGTTTTTTTTTTTTTTTTTTTTATTGCATTAACACATTTTTTTTTTATTTTTGTTTTTTTTTTTTTTGTATGTTTGGAACAAATTTTTTTTTTTTTTTTTTTTTTTTTTTTTATTTTTAATGTCACACAAAACCCCAAAAATTTGGGCTGGACAAAAGTTTTGGCACCC